CCTATGTTACTTTTAGAAGGATCATAAGGATTGTGTCCTGTATTTGTTTTAGAAGTTTATTTTTAGATCTGTAATTTTGTGGTATTTAATATTCTATATGATATGATGTAAAGGTCAATTTTATTTTTTCCACATGGATATCCAATTGTACTCGCACTAGTATTGAAAAGTTCAGCTTTTCCCACTGCTTGTAAGTATCACCTTTGTCATAAATCAAATGTCCATGTGTGTGTATCTACTGCCACTCTATTCTGTCTAGTTGATCCAATTTATCTTCCTTGCACCATATTATGCTGTCAAAGCAACTATAGATTTACAGTAAATTTTGATAATCAATAGCAAGTCTTTCTACCTTCATCTTTTTAAAAAGTATCTTAACTATTTTTGCCTCTTTGCATTTTCATATAAATTTTTAAATCAGGTTTTCAAAACCCACCAAAACAAGCAAACAGAAAGCTTGCTAGGATTTTTATTGAGGCTGCACAAATATTAAAACAATTTAAGGAAATTCATATTCTAGTCCATGAACAGGATGTTTTCCTCCATTTACACAATTGAGAATAAATTGCAGACATTTTACCATTGCTTTTATTAAATACGAATCAAAATATTTGGAGGTAGAGGTGTCTGAGTGTCTCAGTAGTTAAGGTCCAACTTCAGATCAGGTAGTGATCTCACAGTTCATGAGTTTGAGCCCCACGTCAGGCTCTCTGCTGTCAGGGCAGAGCCTGCTTCTGATCCTCAGTCTCCCTCTCTCTGTTCCTCCTCCATTAGTGTTCTCACTCTGTGTCAAAAATAAAATAAATATGTTTTAATGAAATATTTAGAGGTTAAAAAAAAACCTGGTAGTTTGTGTTTTTAAATAGATTTCTACATATGTCTCATTGACCAGAACAGTGTCACATGGTGTCTCCTTACTGCAAGGAGATGACATGGGACTGAGAACACGAGGTTTAATTTTTTTGCGCCCAAGGGCACCTGGGTGCTCCGGTGGTTGAATGTCCAACTCTTAATTTTGGCTCAGGCTATGATCCCAGGGTCGTAGGATCAACCCCTGCATAAGGCTCTGTGCTGATGGTGGAGCATGCTTAAAATTTTTTCTCTCTCTCTCCCTCTGCCCCTTTCCCCCACTTGCGCTCTCTTTCTCTCTCTGTCTCTCTTTCTCTCTCTCTAAAATAAAACTAAAAAATTTTAAACTATTTTCATTCTAATAATTTATCAGTAATTTATGAATTTTCTATATATACAAGTATGTCAGTTGCATATAATGACAGGGTTTTTTTCTTTTTTGTCCTAAGCCTTATACATTTTATTTTGTTTCTTGCCTTTTGTACTGACTAGCACAGTATAACATAGAAATAGTGATAGTAAACATCTTCATCTTGTTCCCAACTGCAGTGGGAAAGGTTTTGATATTTTACTCTTTAAATTAAAAAAAAAATTTTTTTTAATTTATTTATTTCTGAGAGAGAGGGAGACAGAGCGAGCAGGGGAGGGTCAGAGAGAGAGGGAGACACAGAATCTGAAACAGGCTCCAGGCTCTGAGCTGGCTGTCAGCACAGAGCCCGACGCGGGGCTCGAACCCACAAACCGCGAGATCATGACCTGAGCCGAAATCAGGCGCTCAACCAACGGAGCTACCCAGGTGCCCCTGACATTTTACTGTTTAATACAACATTCTTTATAGATTTTTTTTGTAGAACCACTGTGAGATTACAGAAGGTCCTTTCTATCCATTAGCACTAGACTTTTTTTTTCAGTAATGAATATATGTAGGGTTTTACCAAAAACCATTTCTTTCTTTATTTCACTAAGAATATTCTGCCTTTATCCTGTAAATATATTTAATTACACTTATTAACTTTTTAATGCTAAACCCACCTTTCATTTCTGGAATAAACCTGACATAGTCATCCATAGTCATACCCAGTGACTATGGTCTTTGCTGGGTTCTTCTCTTCTAAGACTAAACTGTAGTTACCCCCAGAAAGCTAAAAAGAAAATCTCAAATATAACTTGGGTTAATTTATGCCTAGGTTATGCTCAATTTTGGTAACTGTTTCAGGCTCCCTCTTCAAGACACTATGGTTATGTAACAAATCACCATAATGTAATGACTTAGAACAATAATCGTTTTTCTCTCTCTCTTGGTGTCCCTGTGTCAAGAATTCCAGAGCAGCTAGCAGGCTCAGCTCTGTGAAAGGTCTCTTAGGAGGTTATAAATCAGATTGGTTGGGACTGGAGTTATTTCAACAGCCTGATTCACATCCCTAGTGTCTGGGCTGGGGAGACCCCAACAGCTGGCCACTGGAACATGGGGGCCCCTCAAACATCCCCCTCTAACTCTGTTGGCATATCTGGCAAGACAGCTTCAGGGTGGTAGGATTTCTTGCGTCGGCTTGTGTCCCGAAGGAGAAGCAGAAGGAAATTGTATTGCCTATTATGACCTAGCCTTAAAAGTCACATAGCAGCATTCTACCGTACTATTGGCTGGGTAGTTACAAAAGGCCACTCAGTTTCAAGGAACATAGGCCCATCTCCCAATGGAGGAGTGATAAGTCACATTGTAAGGAGAACATGTGGAGCAGATATGTCAGCAAAGCCATCTTTAGAAGATACAACTTCCCAGGCGCCTGGGTGGCTCAGTCGGTTAAGTGTCCAACTTCATCTCAAGTCATCATCTCACAGTTTATGGTTTTGAGCCCCACATCAGGCTCTGCTGACAGCTCAGAGCCTGGAGCCTGCTTCAGATTCTGTGTCTCTCTCTGCCCCTCCCCCACTCATGCTCTGTCTCTCTCTTTCTCAAAATAAATATTAAAAGAAGAAGAGAAATACTACATGGCAATGAGAATGAATGAAATCTGGCCATTTGTAGCAATGTGGATGAACTTGAGGGTGTAATGCTGAGCGAAATAAGTCAGGTTTTCACTTATAAGTGGAACAGGAGAAACTTAACAGAGGACCATAGGGGAGGAGAAGGGGAGAAAACAGTTGGGGAGAGGGAGGGAGGCAAACCATGAGAGACTCTTGAATATTGAGAACAAACTGAGGGCTGATGGGGATGGGGGAGAGGGNACCATGAGAGACTCTTGAATATTGAGAACAAACTGAGGGCTGATGGGGATGGGGGAGAGGGGAAGGGGGGTGATGAGCATGGAGAAGGGCACTTGTGGGGATGAGCACTGGGTGTTATATGGAAACCAACTTGACAATAAACTATAAAAAAAAAATGAAGAAAGTGGGGAGGTAGGTGGGGCTGTTGTAAAACAAAAGGCTCACGGGAGCAAAATAGTGGCTTCTCATTGGCTGAGCTGTGACAGTCTTTCATTGGGTGAGCTGTGACAGTCTCTCATTGGCTGAGCTGTTGAGAGTGGAGGTAATGTGGTTTGGAGTGTAGGGGTTCAGAGCCGATGGCTAAGAAAGAATTCTTGCCATGTCTTCCATGCAAAAAAGGGGTTTTATTAAAACACAGGGATAGGACCCATGGACAGAAAGAGCTGCACTGAGGTTGTGAGGAGAGACTGATTATATAAGATTTTTCTATCCTGTGGAGGGGAGAATGGCATTGGGATCCCAGAAAATTGAATCTGTAGGTTTCTGGAAGTTGGGCTATTGGTAAAATTGTAAATCATTAAGTAATCATTAAGACAGTTGTAAACTGAAAAAAAAAAGAAAGAAAGAAAGAAAAGAATAAGAAGATACAACCTGCCACAGCAGCATCTCATAAGGTCCACAGCCAACCTAGACAATCATCTTTACCATCACCCACCCTTGGCCTGTCTAGTTTAGGTCCCACACCTCCTTTCTTACCTCTGCCTCCAGCAGCATGGTGCCCATCTTCATTGTCCTTCATGCACAGCCACATACTGGGGTCCCACAGGATCACTCTTAAGACCCCTTTCTCAGATATCTTCCCTAGAGTTTTGGAGGGAACCTCAGTGGTCTTAAGAAATGGGTATCAAATGTTACCCTGGCTAGAGTTCCCAAGGAATGTTATTATGTACTTGGGACAACTGAACAGACACTGAGTGCATCTTCACAACAATGGCCAAGATGAAATTCTTTCCTCAATTCCAAGGATTTTTCTCAGTGAGGGCCTTCTCCAGACCAGGGCTGTGTTAGAAGCTGGTAGCATGATAAAAGAAGGAACTCACAGTGGAAAGATGTGTCTGTAAACCTGTCAGCACATGACCCAGAGGATATAGGAAACATTAAAGGATATTAAGTCAAGAAGTCTCATGATCGGGTTTGCACTTTGGAAAGATCATCACTATGGGACGTCTGGCGGCCTCAGTCAGTGGAGCATGCGACCCTTGATTTCAGGGTTGTGAGTTTGAGCTCCACGTTGGGTGTAGAGATTCCTTAAAAATAAAATATCTTGAAAAGAAAAAAGAGAGAGGAAGGAAGGGGTGGAAGGAGGAAGGAGGGAGAGAGAGAAAAAGGGAGAGGGAGAGGGGGAGAGAAGAAGAAAGAGAAAGGAAGGAAGGAAGGAAAGACCACCACTATGTTTAAGTAAAGCTTGTCCCTTACTGCCAGGAACAATGCGTACTCAGCGGCACTGTGTGTACAAATCTGCATTTCAATGTACCAGACCTGAGGGGGATTTCTTTGATAGAAGCCTCTTTGAGAGAAAATCAAGGTCTAGCTTGTTTGTATACATACCAGAAGCACACATTGAAGAAAACCTGCAGTTTAATGGAGTCTGCTTTCCTTGGTTCAGAAAACAGAATCAGGGGTTGGAGTAGCAACTACCTCATCTAAAGAATTTACTCCAGGGGAGACTGGGTGGCTCAGTCAGTTAAGCGTCCAACTCTTGATTTCAGCTCAGGTCATGATCCCACAGCTGGTCATGATCTTATGGTGGGTTGGGAGATGGAGCCCTGCATCAAGCCCTGCATTGAGCCCCATATGGGGCTTCATACCAGATGTGAAGCCTGCTTAAGACTCTCTCTCTCTCTCTCTCTCTCCCTCTCTCCCTCTCTCTCTCCCTCGCCCCCACCAAAACAAATTTACTCCAAAATCTGAATTATTAATTTTCACCATCCTAACAGATAAAGGCTAATTCGATTCTGTAGCTGAAAAATGAGTATAGCAACATTCTTTGTAAAATATTTTGGAAATGTCCCTGATTTATTGAAAATGCTATGACAAATCATGGCAAAGATCGCAAAGAATTTTCACAATAGCCTTTTGTGGAATCCAGAGCAGCAGCAGCAATTGCTGGTAGTACTGTCTTTCCCTGCACTATAATCAACATTGGACAAGGAAACCGTACACCTGATTGATTCAGGAAATCAAAGCAATAAAACTGCCAGCAACAATGCGGCCAAGTGATTAAAAGAAGGCTGGTTGAAAATTTAAACACCCTTTTTACTCATTAATCTCCAACTGCTAAAGACAAACAAAAAGCAAAATTAACATGATTGTAAACTAAGCACTGTGTCCTGTGGCTACCGTGTTGGCCTGCTGAGAGGGAATGGGCTGATCAAAGCCCGCGGAGTCTGCAGAGAACCGTGGCTAAGAGCTACTTCGGGAAGCGCACAGCCAGGATCCATTACCGGCCCGCTTCAGAAACAGGTGAGTGCCGTAATTAATCTTGCCCTCAATTTGGAGGGAAATGGGAAAGCTACCTGCTCTGTCCACTGAGTTTATATGTTAATCCTCCCAGCTCTGGGAAAAAGTTCTTAAATTGGCGTAAAGACTTTTCCTGCCCTTCTGAAAGTGTAGAGAAGAAACAGTTGGGAGGGGGTGTTGAGGTCCCTAACTTCAGGCAGTTAAGATGCTTTCCAGGAAAGCTGTTGATTGCTACCTTGCTTGGTTTGACGTGTATCTAAGCCCACAGAGCAAAAGGCTCTTCTAATGAAGCTAGCAGGTTTTTTAATGCAAGAGAATACTCAGAGACTCAGGGGGCCTCACCCCACAAACAGAAACCATGAAAATCCAGATACTTGGAATTGGAATTGCTCTTGCAGGCAAACTCATCCAACCAAAGGGCACTTGAATTGCTTAAAGCATATCCAGGACTTTGCATATTATTCCAGATACAGCAAAAATTAATAGGCATCTGCCTTGTCCTTTCTTCGCACCAAATTCATATTTTAAAAAAAATAATGAACTGTACAAGCAAAATACCTGCATCAGCAATAGAAATTTCACACTAGAAAAACTGAGGACTTCTACTAAAACTCAGTGCTGAATAAATGGGGTAACAAAGTTGAACCACCGAAAGCAATCTTTCTTCTGCAAGGAGACAACAAATTATGGGCATAAGCAGAAGATGCTAGAAGGTACCCTCTGACACCCCTAACATGGAGTGGTGGAGGCCACGCTGTGGCAGAAGGCTGAAAACCAAGCTGTTTGAGAGGCCTGTCAGAAACTGTAATGCTTGGCTGCCCCTCCTTCTGAGACACCCTCAGTGATGTGCTGAGGCCCCAGTGGGGCACCAATTAGCCATTCAAGCATAAAACCTTTTCCTAGAAAACCTGCCAACAGTGATAGAGGTGTGGCTTCACTAGGATTACCTCCCCCATTCCACTCTGCCCACCCACCCACAGTTCTATGACAAAATTTTGCTATGTTTCTGAAACGTCATTGCCTTCAGCTTCTCTTCCTCTGTATGTATCTGGATCTGATATCCTACTATTAAAAATTTGGTTGGGACCTGTTTTAGTCAGTTTGGTGTGCTATAACAAGACCGTAGACTGGGTGGCTTAAAACACAGAAATTTATTTCTCACAATTCTGGAAGCTGGAAAGTCCATGATCAAAATGCCAATAGATTCGGCCTCTGGTGAGAGCCCATCTTCCTGGATGGCCATCCTCTCATTGTATCCTCCCATGGCAGAGACCAAAAAGAGAGAAGCAAGAACTTTCCTGTCTCTTTTTCTAAGGGCACTAATCTCATCATGAAGACTTCACTCTCATGACCTAATCTCCTGAAGGCTCCACCTCCAGATACCATCACACTGGGGATCAGAGTGTCAGTTTATGAATTGGGGTGGGGGGTGGGGGAGGTGGAATCAAACATGCAGTCTATAACAGGACCCATATCAATTTCTGACAACATTGAACTCCTATTTGTTCAAAATCAACTGAACAGGACTGAACATGAATCCATTGAGAGCAAATTTAACCATATATTTATTTTAGTTGTTCAAATAGGTAGGGAGTCCCTGTATGGTCACTATGTACAGAGCAACAGGGCTTAGGATGAATTCTATATGGTCCTTGAGCTTGAGTTATGGAACAGGCTTTAATGGGGGAAATTACAAGCCAGGGGTCAGAAAGAGAAGATGGCATAGTCTAGAATCTTCCAAACACCCCAGGGAGAGGGATGCTATGGCCAGGTGCTGTGTGTGTTCCAGTGGAAGACTATATCACCCAAGATTAGATCTTCTTGGAGTTAACTTGTAAGAAAGCAGCCTTGTCAGAATGTGGACAAAGAAATTATTTAGAGCCAGAGTAACTGAAGTTAGGTGCTAGCTGCCCAATACTTGGTGATCTTAAGAAGTTCAGCCCTGGGGTACCTGGGTGGCTCAGCTGGTTAAGCGTCTGACTTCAGTTCAGGTCACAATCTCACAGATCACAAATTCAAGCCCCATGTCAGGCTCTGTGCAGACAGCTCAGAGCCTGAAGCCTGCTTCGGATTCTGTGCTTCCCTCTCCCTGCCCCTCCCCTATGCTTGCTCTCTCTCTCTCTCTCTCAAAATTAAATAAACATTAAAAAAAAAAAGAAGTTGCAGCCCCTTATGCAAGGGGTAGAAAGCCATCCTAGGACACTAAGTGTGGGCACAGCTGTTCTGCTGGTAGAAGGGAGGACCCTAGTCCCTTCTGGCACAATACGTGGGCAACCCCAGGGTCATCTCTACGGGTCATTTTTGGATGATCCTCCCTGAAGCACCATACTCTTCTATTCATACTTTATTTTTTTAAGTGTATTTATTTATCTTGAGAGAGATAGAGACAGCATGACTGGGGGAAGACAGAGAGAGAGGGAGAGGGAGGATCCTAAGCAGGCTCAGCATTATCAGCACAGAGCCCAACACAGGGCTTGAACTCACAAACCATGAGTTTATGACCTGAGCCGAAACCAAGAGTTGGACACATAACCAACTGAGACAACTAGGCACCTTATTCATACTTCAAAAAGTGTTAGTTATAACCTGCAAATGACCAGTGTGAACAATCCTGTGCTACAACAATCTGCCAGATAAAGGAAATGCTTTGGGCTAAAAAAAATTGTTCAGAGATGAAAAGGTTCCAATGGAATACTTGTATAACATTCAGGTACATCAGAATATTAAGTTGAAGGCAAAGTGGAGACTGTCTACCAACTGGGGTAAAAAGATGAAGAGATAATGGGATGAAGAAAGATATAAGGGAGAATAATATTTGAAATTAATTCCTTCAACAAATATAAATATTTATATTTACTTATGAAGTTCTGAGGATGAGCTGGTGAGCAAGACAGATGTGCCCTACTTGTTCTACAGACAAGTAAACAGCCCAGTAGATGTTGAAAAGCCTAAAACAATAATTTTTAAAGATTTTTTCTCCTGAATTACTTACATGTACATTTGAACACTCTCCCAAGTTGCATTTCTGTTTACCTGAACACACAAACAAAAAAGAGCTGATTGACGGAACACAAGAAATTTTTAAAGTAAAAAAAAAAAAAAAAGATTAAACCTAATCTTTTAAAAAGTACTCAGAAAAATATGTTTAATGTTTACTATGTTCTAGACACATGTTGGGGAAAAGACTGTCATAGAAAGGCCTATTTGGACAGAATTTTTAAACTTCAAAAATAAGAATTTTACAAGTGTTTTAAGACTCAGCAGGTAACAATAAAGCACTGTCTACAAAGCTTTGAAGGAAATGTTAATGATTTAGCAAAAGGGCATTTTCAAATATGCCAGAACTAGGAAAATGTACCCCCTTTCTAAATAAGCTATTTCAAGACTCATTCTAGAGCAAAAGATGATCCTAAGGAAAAACTCAAGCATAGGGGAGTTGTAGCTGGAATAGACTGGCAGTAAGCACTGAAAACATTTCATTTGTAGGGATGAGTCTTGATAATTGGTGTAAATACCGTTATGGCACAAGGAAAGTAGACAAAACATACGAACCCACAGAGTAGGAAATATAAATGGCTGGTGAAATACCACTGATCAGGAATATGTAACTTAAAGCCACAAAAAAACACCACTTTCCAACCTATCATATTGATATAAAAAAATTTTTTTAAATGGTAGCAAAGGAACCAGCTTCACAGAGGAACCCACTGGTCAAAGCTGGGATCATTTTAGCATCAAAAGAACCATAACTGTAACTGATTGAAATATGTTGACTATATTAGAAAAATGAGTCCATGTGATACTTAAAAAAAAAAAAGAGGAATAAAATAAGCAATCAAATAAATAAGAATTTCTTTGAAGGGGCCATTATACCAAGTTCTTAACTCTGGAAGGGAAAAGAATATTTTTTCTTTGCAGTAGGAATCATATTGCATGATAACTAATGGCCCTAGTCAAAGAGAAAAAGCTGTTCTTTCTATAAAAATGCCAGCTATAAATGTAGACAGAATTGGAAAATCACAATTTGCAACCCCTAAGCAAATAATTAAGCCAAGAGTATCAACAGATGCTGAAACCATCAGGTGAACGGTTGATGGAGAGCTGGATATTCACCTAGTGCCAAAGTTACCACCCCACAGATTACTGGTTTGTTCCAAGATGACTGTCACTGCATAAACCCTGTGGTCAATCTTAATATCACCAATGATGGGATACCCAGAGCTTCATAATGTGACTCCTCATATGATGCAGTGTTTAGCCTGAATCTAAACAAGCCTTTAGATCTAGCTTCCAATACTAGAAAATATGGGGCTGTTAAATTATACCACAAGGGACAAGTCAGAAAAACCCAGAAATGGGGCCATTGTATGAAACAACTCTCCTGGTCTTTCTGAATCAATGTCATTTGAAAAATAAAAAGCTGGGGGTGGGAGGTGAGGAGGAGACAAGAAGGGACAAAAAAGGGTGTGTCTCTTCTAAATCAAGATAAACTTCAGAGACCCAGCAACCAAATCCAATCATGGCTCTTAACTGGATCCTAATAAGAATAAACTTGCTGCAAAAGACATTTTGAGACCCAGCAACCAAATCCAATCATGGCTCTTAACTGGATACTAATAAGAATAAACTTGCTGCAAAAGACATTTTGGGGACAAGTAGGGGTAACTTGGGTGTGTTGGTATTATTGTGGTTATATAGGAAAGTGTTCCTATTTAGGTATACAATTCAAAATTTAGGAATGAAATGTCATGATATCTGTATTTACTTTAAAATTCTTCAAAAAATAGGTGAAACATGACAAAATGCTAAAATAATTGTTTCATCAATGTGGCAAGTATATGGCATTTATTATACTACTCTACTTTTATGTACATTTATAATACTCATAATAACTATAAAAAGTATTTTCAATATCTAACATTTGTGAGGGTTTGAGGAAACAGAGCATCCTATACATACTGTTGGTTAAATTGGTATAAACTTAGGTGACAATTTGGAATATATAAATATTATTTTAAAATATACATACCCTTTGACATAGTAATCTTATCATTAAGAATCCATTCATAGGACACCTGGGTGGCTTAATCGATTAAGCATCTGACTTTTTTCAGCTCTGGTCATGATATCTCAACTTTGTGAGTTCGAGCCCAGAGTCAGACCCTGTGCTGGCAGCACAGAGCCTTTGTGGGATTCTGTCTCTCTCCCTCTCTCTGTACCCCTCCCCTACTTGTGCTGCCTTCATCTCTCTCAAAATAAACAAATAAATTTGCAAAAAAAAATAGCCCAGGGGTGCCTGGGTGGCTCAGTCAACGGTTAAGCATCTGACTTTGGCTCAAGTCATGATCTTACGTGGGTGAGTTCGAGTATCACATTGGGCTCTCTGCTTATCAGCATGGAGCTTGCTTCTGATCTTCTGTCTGCCCCACTTCCTCAAAAATAAACAAACATTTTTTAAAAAACTTTAAAAAAAGAATCCGTTCAATAACCTAGTGACAGAATAGAGGATGTAGTATAAGGATATTTATTATAGCATATTGATAATATGAACAAATATGAGACAATAGGGAAATGGTTAAATATATTTTGACAATATATTACATATTATCTATGACAAAGAACACCATGTTACTGTTAAAAAGGACAAAGTAGGTGCATATTTACTGTTCTGGTTTGCTAGGACTGCCTAGCAAAGTACCTTAAGCAACAGAAATGTATTTTCTCACAGTTCTGGAGACCAGAAGTCTGAGACACAGTGTGTGCAGAGCTGGTTTCTTCTGAGGCCTCTCCCCTTGGGTTATAGGTGGCCGTCTTCTCCTACGTGCCTTCACATGGTCTTCCCTGTGTACCCATCTGTGGCCAAATTTCCTCTTCTTACAAGGACACCTGTCATCTTCCAGAAGAGGCCACACTAATGATGGCATTTAAACTTAAATACCTTGGGGCACCTGGGTGGTTCAGTCAGTTGTGTGTCCAGCTCTGGATTTCGGCTCAGGTAATGATCTCATGGTTCTGTGAATCTGAGCTCTGTGTCAGTGCGCTGACCCACACTGTCAACGCAGAGCCTGCTTGGGATTCTCCCTCTCTCCCTCGCTCTCTGTCCCTTCCCAGCTTGTGCACACATACTCTCTCTCTCTCCCTTAAAATAAATCAATATATAAAAGCAAAAAAATTTAATTTAATTATCTCTGTAAAGACCCTGTCTCCAGATACAGTCACATTATGAGGTACTGGGAGTTGGGGCTCCAACATATGAAACTTTAGGGTTACACATCATAATATTTACTGACGTGGAAAGATGTTCATGACTTTTAGGCTAAAAACATCAAGAAGCAGAACAACATATACAGTATCCCTTTTTTTTTCAAAATTTAAAAACAACAAAAGCATACCTCTGGTACATATTTATACATAGCTTGAGGTATATTGAAAACATACCTACCTGAAAGGATAGATACCCAACTGTCACAAAGGCTCCCTGGGGAATAAAACGGGGTTAGGAATGGAAGGGAAGGAAGGCCCTTTCTTCATAAGCATGGGTTACTCTTGTCATTAGAAGATTTTAGCTTAAAAAAAAGACCCTTACAATGAGCCCCAGAGATGACCTGGAGGCATCAGAGAATCTCCAGTTCCAAGTGCCACAAGGAAAGGAAAGTAGACTTACCAGGGCCCAGGACCAGATGTACACAGTCTGTCCTGCCTTCCCCAATACATTGGCACCATCTCAAGAATTGGGGAGGGTAAGGTCCAAGACCAAGATTGTCTTTGTCTGCCAGCTCAGAAGAATGGGAGATTCAGGGTCAAAATTCAGTTTTAGAAAATCAAGTGATATTTCTTGCATGTCTGAACTTTGAGACTGAGATCCATATGGCTACACATACTGTTCTCATTTCATTCTCTTACAATCCTAGTATCTTCATTTTACAAATGAAGACAGGGCTTTTTATTAATTTTCCTGAGTATGTAGCAAAACTAGAACTCAAATTTGGGCCTCCCTTGCACTGAAGCCCATGCCACATACTACTTTATGCTGCGTGGAATAGGTTTTGCCTTCTCTCCACCACCTGTACCCAATCCCAACTACCAAATCTTGCTAATTCGGGCAGCATCCTCTCTTTGAGGAAGCCACTTTTCAGTATCTCCCCTAACTTTAGGTGGCCCTCTTGCGCCTCCCTAAATGCCTATCTGCATTTCCATGATCTCTGAGTATGTTTGTCCTCCTCCACTAGACTGTGAACTCTGAAGGGCAAGAGTTAAATATCTTTAATGCCTGACACACAGTAGGTTCTTTAGTTCTACAACAGAAGAATACACTTATATTTTATTGTTTCCTCACTAAACTCTGAATTTCATAAGGTTAAAGAATACATCTGGTTTTATGCACCATTAAGCCACTGGTGTCCAACAGCACTTGGTTTTCTACAAATATTTTCGAAAGAATGAATGGATAATTTTATAAGTAATCGCCTCTATTTCCTAGGACTCTGAGTCACATTCCGAGAAAAAGCAGCTTCCTGACATCCTTTTCCTTGTAATGGTTTAGTATATTAAATTATTTCTTGGATTTATCCTCCTGTTGCAAACTGCAAACTGCTAGCGATTTTTTTCACCCTCACCCCCCCCCCCTTAACTGCCTGAATGTCATGAATCAGGGGCAGGTAGAGGTGAAGTGAACAGGTTACCCTCCAATTTACAAGCTTGCTCCATTTGTATAATTGTAAAGTCACACGTTCCTCGGTGTGACTCTCTCACGACAAAATCTCCACGAGTGGATTGATTACGTATAACTATGACTAATTAAAGATGTAGGATAACAGAAGAGTTAAAATTGTAATTGCTAGGCAAGGTTGTGATCTTTTAAAAATATATACATGTTGCGGTCTTTCATTACTGAAACAAGGAAAATACGTTCCAAATTACCTTCCAAGCGGTTTGCCTAGATTGACAGTCCTACGGACAAAGAAGGGGACAAAACGCTCTCCAGACCCGCGTTTGCAACCGGAGCCGGCGCCCCCTGTGGGCGGGACCAATGGAGCCTCCGGGGACCCAGAGGAAGAGGAGGCGGGGTCGAAGGCGGGTCCAGGCCTCCGGGGGCGGAGCCTCGGCGGGCGAGGGGCAGGCTGGGAAGCGGCGCCATATTGGCGTCGGCCGCGCTGTATTGTCATAAATAGAGCCGGTTTTGTGGTGTTTTCACTACTCGGTTGGATGCCTCGGCCGTAGTAAGTGAGAAAGTGAGCGAGCAAGCGAGCTACAAGCGACCAGAGCAAAGTGGACAGGAGGACAAGGGAAGAGCAAGAACTTGACTCCAGACCGAAAGATACTCGGCGGTGAGGAAGACGCAGGAAGCGATGAAAGAGATGTCTGCGTAAGTGGTGGGGGGCGGCGGTTGGGGACGAAGCTGAGAGAGGTGGTTTGGGGTGGTCGGCCCGGGACCCCCTTTCCGTGCCCTGCCCCTCGCGCCCTGCCCGTCGCTCGCCCGAGTGGTCTCCTTCCCCGCTCCTGGACGGTCGGCAAGGGCACCTCCCCTACCCCCGGCGGCTCACCTGGCCGCCGCTGAACAGACTGGGGGACTCCTGGAGCCCCTATCTGCCCTCGCTTGTTCCTCCTGAGAGGATGCCCCCAGACAAGTAAGCGGCCGGAGAGGCGCGGGTGTCTGTGGGGAGAAATTGTCGGTCACTCTTCTGCCCCTAGCAGTGTCTGAGCCTGTCTCTGCTCCTGTCTGCATTGGCGCAAATACCATCCCCCTACCTCCCCCTCCTCCCTCCCTCCCGGCTGTCTCCTGGTCTTCAGGAGTGAATGACCTCTCCCAGCCCATGGGTTTCTTTTTAATAGAGACTATGATGTTTTCGCTCTCCTCCGGCCTCCCCCACCTACCCACAGTATATCTACCAGTCTGGACCTCCTGCTCACACTTTGATAAGTCAGAAACGGTTTCCGTGCTTGGCAAGGTTTTCTTGTGGGTTCTAACATTTTGATTTATTAGGAAGTAATTTAGAAAAATGCAGAGAATAACATAAGTATCATTTGTGTAGTCATCATCCATCTCTCCCAAAGCATAACATTCCGTATGTGTGGAGAGTGCGTGTGTACATAAATATCTTTATTTAGAAGAAGTCAGCTATTACAGATATGTTTGAACGATTCTCCTACCTCCTCTGGTTCCATTCACCTCCCTCCCCATAAGTTCCCCACAGTCCTGAATTTGATGTTTATTGCTGCATTTTTAAAAATGCTACTACAACATATGTATGTGTCCATAATAACTGGCATTGTTTTACTTGTTTTAAAGCTTTGTATAACTGGTGTCACACTTGTCATTCTGCAACTTCTTTAGTGCAATATAGTACCTATGACCCTGTTAATGTTTTCAACCATAATGAATACATATTAAGTCCAAATTGTGTTACATTGTAGGGATACACCTTATTTTAGTTTTTTCTCCCTATTTTGACTATTTCAGATTGTTTTGAAGTTTTTTTAACTATTTAGAAAGCGTGCGCACACAAGTGGGGAAGAGGGGCGGAGAGAGAATCTTTCTTTTTTAATGTTTTTAAATGTATTTTTGAGAGAGAGCGCGAGCGAGCATGAGTGGACAAGGGGCAGAGAGAGGGAGAAAGGATTACAAGCCTGATGTGGGGCTCGAACTCCTTAAATGTGAGAGCATGACCTGAGCCAAAGTCCAAGTCGGATGCCTAACCAATTAACCAATTGAGCCACCTAGGCGCCTCATGTTTCTAAATTTTTAATGGTACAGTATGGCAGTAAACATTCTTGTACATTTTTCCTTATACACTGGTACTAGAATTTCTCTAGAGTGTTTACTTGTAAGTGAAATTGAGGAGTTGAAGGGAGTATGGAATTCTTTTGCTTGCTTCCCCCCCCCCCCGCCCCCCCAGATGGGGGAGATTCAGATTCACAGATTTGGAATTTTAGTGCTAGTAGCGATCTTCATAGCTAACTTTTTCAGTGTACAGGTAAGAAAGTGGGATCTAGGATCATAGTGTCGGAACTGAAGTACTTGTTGAAGGGAGAATAGAGTGGTGGAAAGATCTTGGGTTTTAGAGTTCAGATTCTGGCTCTTCATATCACTTGGATCTTGGGTACCTATCTGTAAGATGGCATTTATTCAATACCTACCTTTTACAGTTATTGTTGAGATTAATTGATCACATATACTCAAGTCTGTTCCATCCATTTACCATACACATATAAACACTCAGAAACAATACCAAAATACCCCTCCAGCTCTCTTAGAGGTAAAAAGCTAAATCTTTACAAAGGAGTTATAACTTGAAATAACTAATTGAAATTTTGTTTTTTCCACAGAACAATTAATACCAGAAAGAAATTAAAGTCACTAACATTGATGTTTCCCCTTTTGTGTCTCTGAGCTATTTCAGAAAATACATAGGCTGTTTTATCTTCCATTTGATTCTCCCTCCCTACCTCAAGAAGTCTTTAGCCAAGGAGCATGCTTTACTGTTTTGACCCGTTAAAATTCAGAACAATCGCTACTGTATTTTTGTGTGTTATTGTTTACAGGGCTAATTTATTATTTAAAAATCTGTTCTTTTATATTTTGAGATTACATTCTTAACTGTTGTTGTTGATGGTCCTTACTGTCGAATGGTAAAGATAGATGGTAGAATTAGTTGGTTATTGTGTATGTTCATTTTTACTTTACTTTCTTAGCAAAATAAAAAGTTATACCCAGCCATGGTGGTCCCAAAATTTATTTTGAAATTATTGGCTTGTGTAAATCCGAAATCAGAAATTTGGTTGTACTTTATTCCAAACTATAGGATCTTTTGGAGGCTAGCTTATATTGTATCTATAAAAGTGTAAAGAATTTGATAATTATTTAGTGTAAAAATGGACTGGGTACCAATCTAAATGAAGAGAACAACTAACTAGAGTCAATGTTAGGACTCTAAGTTCTGATTTGAGCAAAGGATGTTAATGTAGGTTTCTCAAGGACAAATCCTAGTTGTGATTTCTTTTTAAAAGCCAGGATATTTCACAAGGACCTTCTAATGGGATGTTTTGTTTCTTTCCTGAGGGGAGAAAAACATTGTTCTTACTCAGAGCTTTCTTTTCAAGTGGCTGACTGCTCTTCAAAGATTGAATATAGATGGTACTTGACTTAAGTCCGCAGGGTGTAGTGGAGGTGGCGCTGGCCCAGCTCCCATTCAGGCTCTTTGCCTTTGAGCTAAGTGGTGCTGGCACAGTTGTCCTGATGCCAGCCAACACATGCTGCTTTTGGCTTGAAAAGACATCCTAACCATGAAAGCTGGAGGCAGTATGAATAGCCCTTCATCAAAATAAAAACAAAATACCCTTTTTTCCCCCTTAAAAAGAAAAAGTGCCTGCCCCAACTGTTAGTATTAAGTAAACTTTTAAGGTAGCTGAATTAATGAGTGGATTGAGAGATTCGTCTGTCAGTATGATATGATACTTTAAGATTTTTTCTGCGGTTTCATTTCTCTTGAACAGAAACACCATGCTGGACAGCCAGCGTCAACAAAAGCATTATGGAATCACTTCTCCAATTAGTTTGGCGTGTCCGAAAGAAATTGATCATATTTACACACAGAAATTAATTGATGCCATGAAACCATTTGGAGTGTTTGAAGATGAGGAAGAACTGAACCACAGGTATGTCATTTAAAAATGCAAAATATTTAATAGCACATTAAATATTTAATTATTAATTCTGTAGATATATATCAGGCACCTACCATGACCCTGCCTAGGGATACAAAAATGAGGAAATGAAGAGAAATTTTGGCCCTCCTAGAGCCTATGCTTTAGGTGGAGGTTAGGGTAAAAGAGTATTAGCCAAATTTACAGATGAAAAGTGCTGCTGAGGAAAATGAAGCTGGAAGTGGAATTGTCAGGAAGGCCTCATTGACATTTGAGGGAAATTTTGAGAGGGAGGGAACTTATGTAGATGAGGGAAGAGCATTCTAGGCAGAAGTTTTGAGGTGGGAGTATACATGGTATATTTAAGGAATATATAGTAAGGTAACCAAGGTGTCCAAAGCAGAGTGAGTAAGCAGAAGGATATGAGCTGAAAGAATGTGAGGTGGGAAGGAGCTTGGAGAGCTAGGTCACTTAGGACCTTTTAAGCCATTATTAAAGTTTAGGCTTTTATTTACTCTAAGTGAGATCGGAAGCCATTAAGGTTTTGAGCAGAAAACTGACATGATTTACTCATGTTTTAACACAGTCAGTATGGCTGCTGTATTGAAAACAGCCTGAAGAAGAATCAAGGGCAGAAATGGGGAGACAAGTTAGGAGGCTGTTATAATAACCCAGGGAAGAAAGGATGGTGGGTTGAACTAGGGGGGTGGTAGTGGAAGTGATAAGTAGAACTCTGGATATATTTTAAAGGTAGAGTTGTTTAATGACTAGAACATGTGTGAAAGAGAGAGGTTAAGGATGATGACAAAGTTTTGGGTGTTAGCATCTCAAAGGATGGAATTCCATTACCTGGAGAAGGCTGAGGGAGAAGCACGTTTGGACGTCTCAGAAATTCCATTTTTCATGTCATTTTTGAGATGCCTAAACTCTATTCCCCCCTCCCCAACCTCTTTTTTTAATTTTATTTGTGTGTCTGTGTGTGTAGATTTGGATATGCTATTCATTGTAAGTTGGTTTAATAACAAATTGCTTTTACTAAGTAATATTATTTCATAAAAATTAGCCAGTATTTAATTTACTCATTTTAAGTATCCAAAGACCTGTGACTGATGATGAGAAAATGCTAACCTCTATTACCATGTCGAAGTGATTTTATTCCATAGTAAGGCCAAGAAAATTGACAATTCAGTTTGGCCTCTGCAGACTTATTGAAGGTAATTTGGTAATTTTGATTTTTTATTAGGCTTTTTGAATTTTTTTAAAGTAACTCAAAGACCAAAATATTGTCATCACATTTGGGACCTAAGAATGCCAAAGAGATGTGCCGTGTACCAACAGATTAACAGCATTAGCTGTTAATAACAACATTATTAACATTATTAACAGCATTAGCCCGTGTATAATGTGCTTTTACTCAGCACAAACACAAAGGTTTAACTCCTTTTTTAAATACTAGTTTTGGGTTTTCTTAGTTTTAATCTAAAGCATGTTATTTTTTATTACAGGTTGGTCGTTCTTGGTAAATTGAACAATTTAGTGAAAGAATGGATTTCTGATGTCAGTGAGAGTAAGGTAAGACTCTAAATTGCATTGAATTCATAGTTTCATTATGTCCTGGTCCTTGGTCCTAGTTGTTAAGATGTAGAAATTGAGAATATTCTGAAATATATTAAAACTAGGCTTTCTGGTATACTTGGTAATGAATTGGTCTAGATAGTTGAGTTTCTAAATAAATGAGAATTTATGCTAGTGTCTGGCTATAGTTCTATATTTCATGCTTGAATTACATATAGTGGACCAAAGTTTAAATATCAAGGGATTTTAAAGGTCAGATTTGAGACCTTTTGTGAAATACCAGATCTGGCAACCTTGGACCTGCCTTTGTGCAAAGCAGGAAGAGGCTTCAGTGCATTTGGGCTCCTTCCCTCCAGGGCTTCATGGCCCCACCAATGTCTGGTTTCTCTGACACAGCACCTGTCACTTACCCATCAATTTTGTGTTTCTTAGATATACTTCTATTTGCATATCTGCCTGGCCCCTGAGACATAAGAGTTTGCAAATCCTAATTTGTAATTATGCAACTTTTTTTTCACTTCAGTAACTTATTTTTCTTCTAACATAAATTATATTTTCTTACTTTCTTACAATTGTTTGAATGTAATTGAATTTTCACTTGAAAATCATCACTAATATTATTTTACTGGCTATACTAAACTGAAATAGGGTGTGTACAACTGGGTGATACCACTTGCCCCTTCACTTCGTGGTCCACACTGTTGTATTTTAAGTTTTTTCTTTTTATAGTTTTTCCATCTCTCCCTTAACAGTAATCACCTGAAAGTTAATACCTCACAGCAGTGTGTCTCTAAATTCTTTCTGTCCCTTAATCTGCCTTAGTTTAGAAATTAGATAGACAGCTGTCAGAATTCTTTTTTTGTTTTGTTTTAGAAGTTTTATTTTTTTCTGTACCTATGATACATGTTTAAAATTGGTTCTTTTAGTGGCTCACTCAGTTAAGCATTTGACTTCAGGTGAGTTCATGATCTCATGGTTCATGGGTTGGGGCCTGTGTTGGGCTCTGTGCTGATAGCTCAGAGCCTGGAGCCTACTTGGGCTGCTGTGTCTCCCGGATTCTGTGTCTGCCCCTTCCGCTCATGTGCACACATGTGTGTGCGCTCTGAAAAATAAATATTAAAAAGTTAAAAAATAATTTGATTTCTAAAATTGGTTCTTTTAGACTCTGAATAAGGTCATGAGGGACTCTGCTAAGTCTTCAGTCATTGAGTTTAAATAAGTGGTCTTTATGTTGTTTACTTTTGCTTCCAAACAGCTATCTGACTCATTTTTTGAGCACTCAGCAGGATTATCAGTAGGTGAGATTTTCAGATAAGTTGAATTCTGAGCAGGTGAAATGCTAGTCATCAGTAACAAAAAAAAGTCACTTTTTTCTGCTACCAGGTGATCAACGCCTTAAGAAAAAAGACCTGTCTTGGTCACCTGCGTAACTTCAGGACAGAACTCAGGCATTAAATAAATGTTAAAGGAATCCATTGTCCCTCTCTAATCAGCTCATAATTGTTAACATGTGTGCAAACCAACCACTCAAGTTGCTAGAATTCTTTTAAAATAATAGTAACCAAGTCTTATGACTTCTTGTGTATAGTCTTTATGGTCAGCGTTATGGTTGTACCAAGGTCTTTGTTTCCATCCCCATTCTATGATGTGTTCAAGATAAATCAAGTGTTATTATGCACAAAAGAGGCTATACTAATTTGTTGAGAGATGTACCTAATTTTCTTCACAATTTATTTGCACTTAACTGAAAAATCCAGTAGAATTCTGTTTCAAGGTCAAAAGGTATTTGTTTTTTATTAAATTGAATTTTCTCCCATGTTACTCACATAAGTAGCTTAATCTGCAAAAAGCAATCACTGGTTTACATTTAATTTTTAGGCATAAAAATTTAAGACTTTGCCACAATTTGGATTTTTTTAGGCAAAGTACATAAAATACCTAATTACAAAAAGTTTTTTTAATTGGTTTTGACATCTTCCATTGTGTAGATAGAGTGATTTTTCATTTTCTGTATCAACTATTCCTTTTATCTACTAAATCTACTATTTATTCCTTTCCAAACTAAAATATGTTTGGAAAATATTAGAAGGATTTGAGTTAGATCAAAGCTCATTTAAGTATTCTGTACATGGGATATTTAAACTGTAAATAGTCTAAAACTCAAATCAGATTATTTTAATTAAATACTGTGGTTTGTGATTTTTTTTTTTATTTTTTTTTTTTACTATGGAACACTTCACAAATTAGCATGTCATCCTTGCACAGGGTCCATACTAATGTTCTCTGTATCGTTCCAGTTTTAGTATATGTGCTGCTGAAGCAAGCACTGTGATGAAAATATTTTACCCTGATTCAGAGTATCACTTTCTCTTAAAATCTGTAAGAATTTTGCTTTTCAAAGTAGAAAAATAAAAAATAGAAAGTAGGAAGGTAAACACTAAAAGTTCTGTTTTTTTCTACCTTTTTGATTCATATTAGTCATCAGTATATTTACTGACTTCTCTAGAGTTATGTGTGGTACTCTTAAAACATTAATATCCATTAGACAGAGGGAATAACAAACTTAATACCTTGTTACACAAGATTTCATTCAAGTTAATCAAGGGATATTATTCTTTGGAACTTGAGTTGGGCTTTATAAAAACTAAGAGAAGTAGTAGATACAATTCTCATTTTCAAGAAATTTAAATATAGTTGAAGAGATGGGACATATGTTAACAAAAAAGGTCACTAAATGTAATAGAGGAACAGAGAGGGAAAAGAGCTTGTTATGGAAGAGAGGGGGATCATCAGAGAAGTCTTCATGAAAAAAGGTAGAACTTGAACTTTGAAAAAATGGTACTGAGATACCCAGAGAAGGATGGGCAAGTGCAATGGGAGAATGGCAAGTGCGACGGAAAGGAGACTGGATTGTGTAACATATTGGCAGTTGGGGCTTCAAAAGGGAATTTCAGGACCCAAGGCAAGAAAGAGCCATAAGAATATATTGTGGAGACCCAGGATCCTGGGATCCTTCCTTACCTCAGTTGTCAGAGAAGAAGGCATTAGTGGGTGGCTCAGTCGGTTAAGTGTCTGACTTTGGCTAAGGTCATGATCTCACAGTCCGTGGGTTTGAACCCCTTGTTGGGCTCTGTGCTGACAGCCCAGAGCCTGGAGCTTGCTTCGGATTCTGTGTCTCCCCCTCTCTCTGCCCCTCCCCCGCTTGCGAGATCTCTGTCTCTGTCTCTCAAAATAAAGACATAAAAAAAAGTTTTAATAAAAAAAAAATACATTAGGAAGTTTTGAGCAGAAGAGTTGCAATATAGAAAGAACATCAGCAAGTGAGTTTTATACAAAAAGAAATGGGAGAAAATACAGATGAAGGGCAGGGAAGGTAGCTTAAGATCCTAGAATTAAAGGGGTAGTAGTTGAATAGAAAGGAGGTGACGTGAGGATATAAACTATGAATTGGTAAGCCAAGAAGAATAATGACTATAGATAGAAGGGGTAAGAAAAATGAGGAACAAAGAAATCAGAAGGGATACCTATTTATCATAGGAAGAGTATTTTGTTTCAAGCATGGTTATTGGAGTGGATCAGAATGTCTGAGTGAAAATACCTAATGGGAAGTTAGAATCGACTGTAGAGGGAGGTGAAAAGTAGTAGCTTTATAATTCTGATACAGTCTAACAGACTTCATTAAAGTTAGATTAGCTCATAAGAGATCATGTCAAGAATGACTCCACTTTTAGAAAGGTTGCAGAGCTAGAATCAAGAAATTAAGCGTATTTGTCACAATAACTAAAGGGGAAATGGAATAAATTAAGTGTATGGTACTATAAAGAACTGAAATTACATTAGTTTGGTGTTTAAGATTTCCTTTGTGACTTCAGAATGATGAAGCCAAAGATAGGCCATTGGAAGGGGACAAGTTGGGTCAAGTGATTAAAAAAATGTTTTTCATAGAGATTTGTGCAGGCATGAATTTGCTTTATCTTCCCTCAGAGAATACTCTCATTACTTCAAGCTACAGCCCAAAAGAGCTCTGAAGTACCTTCACAAATCTCAATTTACCAAAGTTGATGAATGTATATATTAGTAGTATTTAGGCAACTTTTATGTGAAATGATTTGAACAATGGAATGCTGTTTAATTTAATTTAATTTAATTTTAGAATCTCCCACCTTCTGTTGTGGCTACTGTTGGTGGTAAAATTTTCACGTTTGGCTCCTATAGGCTTGGAGTACACACCAAAGGTAACTGCTTTTCTGTGTTCTACTGTTAAGAACTTTCAGGGGCACCTGGGTGGCTCAGTCGATTAAGCGTCCACCTTTGGCTCAGGTCATGATCTCACGGTTCATGGGTTCGAGCCCCACGTCAGGCTCTGTGCAGCCAGCCAGCTCAGAGCCTGGAACCTGTTTCAGATTCTGTGTCTCCCTCTCTCTCTGACCCTCCCCTGCTCACTCGCGCTCTCTCTCTCTCTCTCTCAGAAATAAATAAAAAACATTAACAATTTTTTTGAAAAGAACTTTTAGTAACAAGCTCTTATTTGTTCATAATTTGAAAGTAAAGAAAAAATTACCATTATCTCACTACTCAGAGCTAATCATTGTTAACACTTTCCTATATTCATCTTACATATTTTCTTCTGTTCATAATGTTTATATATACTTTAACAAAATCATACTTAATTTACTCTTCTTGATTAGAAATAACTTTGATTTGCAGGAGCTGATATTGATGCACTTTGTGTAGCTCCAAGACATGTGGAGAGATCTGATTTTTTTCAGTCTTTTTTTGAAAAATTGAAACATCAGGATGGCATTAGAAACTTAAGAGTAAGTATTCTTTGGTATTTAATATTTTGAACTTGTTAAGAAAAGCTAGGGCTTATGATTGTTGAATTATTTCTTAAGAAGTCACTTCATCTGGGTGCCCGGGTGGCTTAGCTGGTTAAGCGTCTGACTTTGGCCCAGGTCTCCTGGTTGGTGAGTTTGAGCCCCGTGACAGGCTCTGTGCTCATAGCTCAGAGTCTGGAGCCTGCTTCAGATTCTGTGTCTCCCTCTATGCCCCTTTCCCACTTGCACTCTGTGTCTCTCTCAAAAATAAACAAACATAAAAAATTTTTTAATTAAAAAAAAAAGGAAGTCACTACATTTTATTAAAATAACAAATGATTGAGAACATGGGCTTTATAGTTATATAGACCTGGGTTTGAATCTAGAATCTCCAACATATTGACTCTTAGATTTTAAGTTACCTTTTCTTTTTGAGCCTAGTTTCCTCAGCTGTAAAATGGTTACTCCCACAAATAGAGTAGTGAATAAGACAGTTTATTGGGAGGGTGGGATTCGGGGAAATTAAACAGATAGCTTTAATACCATCTAAAGTGCCAAGATAAGGTAGAAGTTGAAAGGATCTATCAAGTTGAAAGGATCTGCTGCGATATTTTGGTATCTGGGAATGGAAGACGTTAAGAATTGGTTATGTGGGGGGATTAAGGAATGCTCAGAAAGACATCATTTCTACTAAATCCAAATTATATTGATTATATTTTTCTAATAGATTAATCATGAGCTCTGATCTTATTTTTATTTCCAGTACTAGTGCTCTTTGTAAATAATCAGTTTTCAATTTAATCTCCACAAATAGTAAGTACCCAGATGAAAGCAATTCTGCCTGCTAGTTTCTGATGAAGATTTTTAGGAGGATAATAAACTTGTTAACTATCGTCATGACATTTTATGTGTCTTAAATAACACAATCATAGTAGAAGTACTTTTCTAGAATGTGAGACCAAGAACATTTTTGCTTTTTAGCTAAGTTATTCACATTGGCACGTAGGAATGATAAACAAAGGATTACACCTTTGAAGGGATTGTTTATGTATTGTAACTGTTGTCCTCTTTCATAGGCTGTAGAAGATGCCTTTGTACCTGTTATAAAATTTGAATTTGATGGAATTGAAGTAAGTGTTGAATTTTTTTTTGGCTTTGCAATTGAACTATTTAATATATAAGATTTTTTTTTAGTTCTGTTTTTTAAGTCTGACATAGACACATATTTTAAAGAATCAAATAATCTTTAAATGGTTTCTCACCTTTCTTTATCCTATATCTATTGACTTCTCACTGTGGGAAATGAACCAGCTTTTATTCCTACCCCCATGATTTTTATATACACCCTTGCCGTTCTCATAATCTAAAATAATTGTATTGCTATAATTTTGGTTGGAACATACTCAATATTTACATTATATTGATCTTATAAATAATGTTCAAAACTGAGCATAAGGTGGACTAGGTTACCATTCTTTGCTCTGTGGTACTTTGTATCTCGGGAGTTAATGATTGATACTGCATTTTGTTTGCTTGGTTTTCGTACATAACACTAATTCATACTCAGTCTCTGCTACCTGTCTAAATCTCCTCTGAATAGATTTAGATTTCTCAGGTGTTCTGTCCTTACCCACTTAAAAAGATGTCTGAGTCTTCTCACCTGTTCGAACCCATACCAGTTCTCCATGAATGATCTACAGCTAGCATCCTGACATGTTTCTTTACTATCATCCTGGGATTTCCTTTCCCTTCTCTCTAGAGTTTTCTTTTTTGACTTCCTATAATTTTAGTGGCACTCATCCACTAGAGTCCTGAGAAAGAGCACATATTTTTGAGATCTTGCATGTTTAAAAATGTCTTTATTTTGTTCTCACACCAAAATAATAGTTTGAGTATAGAGCTCTAGATGGGAAATAACCTATCTCAGAATTTTGAAGACCTTGCTTCATTGTCTTCTACAACTTCCATGCTTTGTTGAAAAGTGTGGTGCCATTTTGATTTCACATCCTTTGCTTGTGACCTGCTTTATCTCTTTAGACGCTATAATATGATCTTTTTTTCCCTGGGCTTCATAGTAGTAAAATTCACGATAATATACTTTGGTATATATTTTCAACCAAATATGCTGGGCGCTAATTGTCCTCTTTGAAGCACTTTGGAAACTCCTTCTGTTCTTGGAAATCGTATTGAATTCCATTGGATTTCCTGCCTTTGTTTTCTCTTTTTTCTGTATATTGGACCTCCACATCTTTATATTTTTGTTCTCTTTTTTAAGGTTTTCCCCTCTTCCAAACCTTCTCTTGTTTTCCATTTCTGCTGTCATATTTTTAAGAGTAACTTTTTTATTCTCTAAATGTTTGTTTCTGTTTATGTATGTGTTTATCTACAGCCTCTATCCTTTCCTGGATACAATATTTTTTTATCTCTCTTTTCTTAAATCTGCAGAGTTGGTTACCACTTACCCATCTGCATTCATCATTTTTGCTGTTGTCTCTTTTTATTACTTTTGTCCTAGTAGGTGATGCCTTTAGAAACAAAATAATATAAAAATCAAATTGAAATTTTTGCTGGTATTTTAATGGGGTTTCAAGAGGGAGTGAATGTAAATGTGTGTTGGATCTGTCATTGTTATCTAGAAGTTCACTCATAAGATTTTGATGTTCTTTTTAATGCTTGGCATACATACTAAAATTAAAATGCTTTCCCTTAATTTGCAAACTTAATTACCGTCATAGAACTTTGTAGTGATTTTCCCATGTGAGATTGCCGACATAGGCTTTTTGAAGTTTAGGTGGACCTTCCCAAACTAATAATTAGAACTTTATACTTTTGAGGTTGGGAGGGGGGAGAATGGACTAGAAGGAGAAAAAGTAATATTTTTCTCTTTTCTTTTTGCATCTTTCCAAAGATTGATCTAGTCTTTGCAAGACTGGCAATACAAACCATATCAGATAATTTAGATCTAAGAGACGACTCTCGACTGAGAAGCCTTGATATAAGGTGTATTCGCAGCCTAAATGGTAAGCTTCTAAAAAGAAATCTCAGATACCTGCTTGAAAACAATTAGACAAAAAGATCTTTTTGCAGAACTATTAAGGAGTTTTCAAGGGATTGAACTAACTCAGTTAAAAATGGTGTGATTTTCTTCATATAGATCATTTGACCACATTTAGGCGTTTTTTTAAAAGACAGATTTATTGGAAACATTGTTTGTGTTTGTGCACAGACTTAATGGTGCACAAGCTTTATGGTCTCCATACCCCTTTGCACTCTGACAATTTATTGAGGACCTCAAAGATCTTCCACTTATGTGGGTTCTATAAAAGTAAAGACAGAACATTTTAAAGTATTAGTTTATTTCAAAATAAACTCATTCTAAGTGAATGTCAATGGATCTTTTCTGTGAGAATGGCATTTTTTTTTGCATTTTTGCAAATCTCTTCAATATTTGACTTAATAGAAGACAGCTAGATTCTCGTATCTACTTGTATAGTCAGTCTTTTGTAATTGGAAAAGGGAAGAGAATTTAATAGCCTTTTCAGAAAATTGTGGATATTCTTTGCTACACCAAAACTTGACCAGCGACAGTGTCTTTTTTTTTTCCCCAGCAGCTTTATTAAGGTATAATTATATGCCATAAAATTCGTCCCTTTTGGGTGTACAGTTCTGTAGGCTTTATTTACAGAGTTGTCCACCACAATCCAAGTTTAGAACATTTCATCATTTTCAAAAGATCCCTCTTACACATTTACAGTCATTCTCCTTTCCAACCCCCAGTCCTGGGCAACCACTAATCTACCTTCTGTCTATAAATTTGCCTTTCTGGACATTTCATATAAATGGGATCATACAATATAAGGTCTTTGTGTCTGGCTTCTTTCACTTAGCAGAATGTTTGTGGGATTCATTCATGTTTGTAGCATGTATCACTAGTTCCTTTTTATTTCTAAGATTGGTTTTTTTTAAAGGTTAATTTGAATATCGAATCTAAAACTGTATCCGTTAACCTTTTACACTCTGTTACGTTAAAATCTATTGGTCTTTATCGTCCTTTGAATGGATCTTTTACACATACCTGATTTTATATACAGTCATACCTTGGTCATTTGGAAAACATTGGTTCACAAAGTTATTTGGATCCTCTCAATGTTAACACATATTTCATTATAAAGTACCTCTCCCAAAAAAATCACATTCATTAATGCCCCCACCAGTCTCACCGGACAGGTCTTTAATATTGGAAGGCTGCCAGGCTCACAGTGGCAGGTACTAGTTGTCCAAAAAAATTTTTTTTTAATGTTTTATTTATTTCTAGGAGAGAGAGAGAGAGAGAGACAGCATGAGCAGGGGAGGGTCAGAGAGAGAGGGAGTCACAGACCGAAACAGGCTCCAGGCTCTGAGCTGGCAGTCAGCACAGAGCCCGACGCGGGGCTCGAACCCACGAACCGCGAGATCATGACCTAAGCGAAAGTCGGACGCTTAACCGACTAAGCCACCCAGGCGCCCCTAGTTGTCCAAAATTTTAATTTTTACTTGAAAGCTAAACTTTATTGTTGGTAACAAGTTTTGTTTGTTTTCCTTGAAGTGAGGGACTCACTTTGTTAATTTTTTTTAGGAGCTAAGTAAAACTGTTGTTCCTTGAAAAAAGCAGGTTGCTCAGCTTTCTTCAAACTTTTCAGCCACTGCAGAGTTCCTTTCCTGTTTGTTTTTTATATTTATTTTTGAGAGACAGGAGAGAGAGTGCAAGAAGGGGAGTGACAGAGAGAGAGGGGGAGACACAGAATCCAAAGCAAGCTTCAGGCTCTGAGCTGTCATCACAGAGCCTGACATGGGGCTCGAGGTCATGAACTATGAGATCATGACCTGAGCTGAAGTCTGATGCTTAACCAGCTGAGCCTCCCAGGCACCCTTCCTTTCCTGTTTTCTAACTGCAAATAGGTGGTGGTAAAGATACATTGTTACTAGTACATTTTGTTGCTACAGCTTTGATACCAGCAGTTTTACCCACCCCTGCTTTTACACCATCAGTGAAAATGTTAACACAGTAAAAGAGGCGTAGCCTTATTGTTATAAAAACAAGTTTGATGAACTTTGAAAAAAAAAATAGGTTGACCTAACAGATTCCAGCAGGCGGAGGGTAGGGGGTGGTCCACAGACCGTACTTCCAAGGACCATTGGCTTATAGCATTTTTTGTTTAATCATTACATTTTTGTTGTACTTCCAGGGTGCAACAGTAAATCACAGTGTTTGTGAAATAAGGTTTACTTTAAAGGAAAAACAGTTTTATAAGTTGGGGACATTTGATTAACAATAAAGTCAAATGTTGAAGAAAGCTAAAGATATTCAGACCCACATCTTTAATATTTAGTTACATTACCCATGGGCTTCTTAATTCCTTAAGAGCAAAGTGATTTCTCATATAAGTGTTAAATTTCAAATACATAAGAAAATAAACCCTCACATTTTATTATCTTTGATATTTTTAACCTTTAAGAGTCTGGAAATTAGAAGCCATCTGAGTTAACTTGGTTTTGTTGCATAATGAAAAATGAATGCTTTATTTTTTTCAGGATGTAGAGTTACTGATGAAATTTTGCATTTAGTGCCAAATAAAGAAACTTTTAGACTCACCCTAAGAGCAGTCAAGTTATGGGCAAAACGTAAGTATTCCATATCTCTTAAGTTTGCACTATAAAATTATGGCTTTCGGTTACTAAAGATAGAAGCACATATGGAAACCCCTGAGCCTATTGATACTGTTGGGGATTGAGGTCCAGTAAGTTTTGGAGAATCTGTTTCTTTTTCAGGTACAGTGGTTTTGGTGCTCTGATACGTGACTGTACCTCCTTGCTTGGTTGGAAAAACTCCTGACCCCCCATCTTGGGTTTTAGCCAGGCAGTCAGAATTAGTTAGAACTTGAAGAGTGAAAACCTTGTTGTTCTTCATGCTGTCTCTGGGCAGGATCATCTTATTCTTTGTCTCCTCATTACCATCAGAGTATAGTTTATAGTAAGTATTTGGTAAATTTATTAAGTGAAGAACCTGCAGTGATAGTTTCAACTTTGTTTTGGCCTTATAACACTTTTATAGTAAAGCCTGGAACTAATTTACATAAGTATACATAGGATATGGTTCATAAAAGGCTCAATCCTCAGCTGGCACAGCTCATTTTTTTATTATTTGTAACTATATTTAAGTAGTGCTATATTTTTGGCACCAGGTGTCACATAGTCTGAAAACGCACTCACCAATAAAACTTTCTGTGATGACGGTAATGTTTTATATCTTTGCTGTCTAATAAGTAACATGTGGCTATTGAGCACTTAAATTATGCAACTGAGAAACTGAATTTTTAAATTAAACTAAAATTTAAGAGAAGTGAAAGCATGTATTCATACAAAAATTTGTACACACATGTTCATAGCACTCTTCATAATAGCCAAAAAGTAGAGACAACCTCATGTTCATCAACTGATGAATGGATAAACTAAAGGTGATAGATATAGCCATAATGTAGAATATTACTTGACAATAAAAAAGGACTAAAGTAAATTCCATTTATGTAAAACGTTCCCATTAGGCAAATCTATAGAACTAAAAAGTAGATTAGTACTTGCCTAGGTCTGGGAGGAGTGGGAGCAGATAGGGGAGCAGCTGTTAAAGGTTTCTTTTTAGGGTGATGAAAGTGTTCCAGAATTAATTATGGTGATGGTTGCACAACTCTTTGAATATACTAAAAGCCATTAATTTTAATATGTTACATGGATGAATCTTATGGTATGTGAATGATATTTCAGTAAAGCTGTTACCAAAAAAAAAGATGGGGGGGGTGCAATATGATATGTGGCTAGCAGATTGGAAGTACATATCTGAAAAGACCTCAGGCAAGTAGGATTTGTCTTTGGGCTCAATCACCTTGTATAGTCAGGATAATGTAATTTGCAAGAAAAGGATATCACAGTTTTTCTTTCTTTACATAAATTACATACCATGTTTTATCAATCCTTAGATGTATATTTTACACATTTAACATACCTGAAATTGACATTTATGTGTTCTTTTCTCTTGCCTGCATAGTGGGACATAAAATAACACTATATTGGGGCACCTGGGTGGCTCAGTTGTTTAAGCATCCAACTCTTGATTTCGGCTCGGGTCAGTCTCACAGTTCATGGGAACAAGCCCCATGTCAGGCTCTGCACTGACAGCTTAGAGCCTGCTTGGGATTCTCTCTGCCCCACCCAATGCTTGTTCAGGTGCTCTCTCTCAAAATAAAAAACATTTTAAAAATGCTTTATGTAATTGAGGACTTAGTAGTTTTAATGAAATATGGTAATACTTTTTTTTTAGATTGCTATAAGAAACAGTTATAAGAGAAATGAGTACTATCAGTGGAGTATTGTACTTTATGGAGAGGTACCCAAAGTCTGCAAAATACTAAAGTTAGTCCAGCTTTACACTTATTTTTAAAGCCCCATGAATATAACTAATGAAATGTTTATTCTTCCTACTTGTAGAACTAATGAAATGTTTATTCTTCCTACTTGTAGACCCTCCGGATATCTTTTCTCTTTCATTTCTCTCACAACCATAGCTATTGAAAAGTGGGAAATTCCAGTGTTGTATAGAAGAGCCTGCTTGGGCAGTCAGAGCTGAGGCAGGGAACTGAGGGGTCTGTTTTTGGAGGGCAAAGTAGGGGGATAAGATGTAGCTTATGGTTTACTAATAAAATGTGGGCCCAGCATGAAGGTCTGCTTACTGATAGTAATGTTATCTCTGTAAGGGAAAGGATAGCTAAGCAGCACGTCTTAGGAACTAAGTTATCCTATTTCTTACAGTTGAATGTCATGGATAGTAGTAGATCCTAACAATAGTTAACAAATACATTAATTTTCTAGGACGTGGTATTTATTCCAACATGCTGGGATTCCTTGGTGGTGTCTCCTGGGCAATGCTCGTTGCAAGAACTTGCCAGTTATATCCAAATGCAGCAGCTTCTACTTTAGTTCATAAGTTCTTTTTAGTTTTTTCCAAGTGGTAAGTATTCATGGGCATGCTTTCACTATTTACAAACTTCTGTCTGTATGTAAATTTGTTTGGCAATTTAAGAGAGATGCAGAGACCTTTTCTCTTCTCTTACATTCTTTTTAAGTTAAAAGTTTAAAAATGTCAAATTTGAGACCATGATGAGCCACCAGATGGTGCTTTCTTCTGGCATTGTGGGGTTCTTTTAGTTTGAGAGTGGTCATGATAGATTTGTCTCTGCTGCCTACTAGCTATGTAGAGGTTAACATCTCCTATATAAAATGGAGGTGATAATCATAGCTACTGCATGGATTTCTTAGGGGTATTTTCAGTTAATGTCAGCTCTTAACTGCTAATAAATTATCAGTTAAATCCATAAAAGCAAATGGGAGGGGGAAATTCAGATTTAAATTAGCTACAGCTTAATGAGCAATACAGTATTTGCCCTTTCAGAAGAAACATTTAAAATAAGCTGCTTTTTCTTTTGTGTACTTCCTTCTTTTCCCAATTTTTTTTAATACCAAATACCCACCCATAATGTTTGCTGTATGAAAGTTGAAATAGAGTCTAACAATTTTAACATTTCATATAGATCCTGAAGTGAGGTCCTGTGTGAGTTAATTTGCCTTATTCATGTTAGGGAATGGCCAAATCCTGTGCTGCTGAAGCAACCGGAAGAAAGCAATTTGAATTTGCCTGTTTGGGATCCTCGGGTATGTGACTTATTATGGAAATTAATTAAACCGTTTTGGTAAAGGACAGTTCTCTAAACTGCAATCTAATTTCTCTTATTTCAGGTCATCTTCCTTCTGTATAGTATAGTTCTTTCTGTCTGCTGTGTCTTTTGGTGAAGATGATCTTTATCTCAAATTCTGATCCAAATGTTAAAAATTAAAAAATTTTTTTAATTAAAAATCACCCATATAAGACTAGATGAGTGGGTGTATCAACCAAAATGTCATAATCCATTGCTAAATAGTGTCTTAGAAGTAATTAATTACTACTAACAAAGTGCTAAAGTATATAAGACATTTACTTTGCAGTGCAATTTAAAGCAGACTCATGGTTCTAAGCTAGCGTAACTCTCACCTTACATTTTAATTTGCTTTATACTGAGTGTTCATTCCTCTGATTTACGTAGGGGAAGTTACCCAATGAGTAGGTGCAGAGAAAGGAGTGAGAAACCATTGGATTAATGCTTTTTGCATCTATGACACAATGTTCCTTGGTTATAAGAGACCATTGTTCATAAGATCAATCATCGCTTGAACAGCTTTTCAGGGGAAAAATAAACTTCTGCAGAGTTTCCTTTGACTGTCAGACATATATGTCTTCAGAAATAAATGTAGTTGGGGAGGGAAAATGTACTTCTTGACCAGAGGAAATGTAGTATTAAATTTATATTTCATATTCTTCAGACTTTTGGGGAAATGAAGTGAGGACAACTGAAATAGGAGAATAGATCAATTATTCTGCTTCTAATTTCACAGGTAAATCCATCAGATAGGTATCATCTCATGCCCATAATCACCCCTGCCTACCCACAGCAGAATTCTACGTATAATGTGTCCACCTCAACTCGAACAGTAATGGTAGAAGAATTTAAACAAGGTAAACCTGTTGGCCCTTTGCCCTTTATGTATTCCCACAAGTTTTCGGTTTACAGCAGTTTTATTCTAAAGTGCAGTTATGCCTATTTGTAAAAATTCTTTCAAATATGTACTTTTTTTTAGTAATTGGTTTTCTAAAATATAATATTAAGTCCAAAATGGAACCAGCCTAGTTGGTTTGAAAATGATTTTTGTGTTCTGAGAAATTACTTTTTTTTCCCCCACTCAAGAGTTTGTTGAGGTTAGAGGTTTTGGGGTAGGTTGATACAGGAACTGATCATAAAATAGCCAGTTTTCAAAATCAGTCTCCCTCTGTCTCATTTTTAATTTAGGCCTTGCGGTCACAGATGAAATTCTTCAAGGGAAATCAGACTGGTCCAAACTACTTGAGCCACCAAATTTTTTTCAAAAGTATAGGTATTTGAAATTTTGCATTTTGTGTGTGTGTGTGTGTGTTTAAAGAAGAATTTTAAAAAGTTAATATATGATGAGTGACTTTTGTCCTTTATATTTCAAATGAGGATGAGATAGTTTAACAGAAATCCTACATGATGAGTTTGTGTATTCTAGTAGTGTCTCATCCAGCATTAATAGTTTTTTTGTTTTGAGTAAATTGTTTTTTGAGTAAAGGGTCTAGAATTAATTTTGTGAAAATCAGAACACGTTCTAATTTTCATAAACTTTGTGTGTCTGCATTAGTTCTTGTATTCATTGGGAGGAAGAAAGAAAAAGTAATGATGGGAAAGCAGACCTAACAATGTTTCTGGCTTTCTTTCTTTCTTTTTTCCATGATTGTTGCTAAAAATTCTTCGTAGACATTATATAGTATTGACTGCCAGTGCATCAACAGAGGAAAACCATCTAGAGTGGTAAGACTGATATTCAAGTTCTGTATTTAAATTTGTAGTGGTAACATATATGATGTTTTAGGTTTGTAAAACACTTTATCGTCAAAATTATTAAATCTTATTAGTGACTGTTACACATGACCGTGGAGCATCAGTGTTTAAAAAATGCCATGAAAACCATGTTTCAGAATTAGAAGTAATACAAGATAAGGATACATGTATGTTCTTTGCCTTTGCCACTTCTCAGATTTAAGCAAAATTGTGAGGCACTTCAGACAATTTTGATACCTAGACTCTTACTGAGTTTTCTATCTGTGCCATCATGTTTCCCTTTCAAAACTAAAAGGAAAAGACATTTTATATATCTTTTTAACTTAGGAGATTAGGAACATGAAAACTTCTGTCAACAGATAAGAGAGAGGTATTTTTGGTCAAGGAGCAGCGGTTTCTTCCTAGTACATCTAAGTTCATGCACTTTGCCTCCAGTGTATTGACATCCTTAACTCCTATCAGGCAGAAGCTATTAGGCCACCAGAGATTGTTGTGCTTTCCTCAGGTCTGACTTCTGGGAAAGAAAAACACGATACTGTCTTATTTTTGTTTCCAAAGTTCAGTGCTTATTTTACTGCTAATTAAAGAGGCACTGAAAATCCTTTCACTAAAACAAAGAATTTCATTTCTAGATTGGGGATCAGGAAACTATGGTCTGGGCCAAACCTACTCTGCCACATGTTTTTATAAATAGTTTTATTGAAATCCACCCACACTCATTTATATGTTGTGTATGGCTGCTTTCCTGCTATATGGAAGAGCTGAATAGTTACAACAGAAACTCTATAGACACAAAGCCCAACATATTTACTCTCTGACCAACACTGACCACTAACTCAGTGTTTCATAAATGTGCTGTTGAAGCACACACAATTATAACGTGTAAGCTTTTTCAAGTGTTTGAATAATGTAAAAATGTTCTTGTAGTTTTTCTAATTAATAAAATCATTGTCAATTAACATAGCTGACAGCAGTCACATTTCTTAAATGAGGCAGAAAATAAAGTTGCAGAAACCTGATGAAACTTTTTATATTTTAGTAGCATCTGATCTGACTTTACCTATTTCTTTTTTAAATGCAATATTAGTACCAATTTTATGAAAATCAGAGCATGTTTTATTTCATTTAGTGCCAGTTATTAGCTTTTTTGTCCACATTATTTAAACATATCTTAGCATTAGGGTTTAGGTATAATTATGATTTGAAAGTGAAAAAATATTTAGAACCAGATTAACCAACAGTTTTTGTTCATATTCAGACAGGCAGAGTAGTTGGGGGGGGGGGGGCACAGAAATTGACAGAGTAACTGGTCATTTACTTAAATGGTATTGTAAACAGTCCTTCATATTAGACTGATTTTTTTTTTTTTTTTGATGAAAATGTAAAGCATCATAGCTATCATATGCTTTTTGGGTTACTTAGATGCAGTTTCCACATTTCCTATGTTCTGTTTCAGGGTTGGATTAGTAGAATCTAAAATCCGCGTGCTTGTGGGAAACTTGGAACGGAATGAATTTATTACTCTTGCCCATGTAAATCCCCAGTCATTCCCAGGAAATAAGGAACATCATAAAGAGTAAGTTAATTATTGCTTATTACTGTATTTCTTAATGTTATTTGACAAACATTTTAAGATCACTTGTGACATTGTCATTTAACAAGCATTGATAGAGGAGGATGATACATTATGTATTTAAGCATGAGTGGTCTTACATTAAAACTAGTACATGCTATGTTGGTAGCCCACAGACCCCAGCAGAAACTCTATCACAAGATTTAGAGCATCTTTATGAATATATTTAATAAGTCACTTTCAAAGCCATTTAATCCTTTTTATAACAACACAGGGTAACTGATCCAGTGTTTTTGGTGTCAGTTTTAAGAATTAGCCAAACCAGAGCGGGGGCAGGGGCGCCACCTGAGTGGTGTACAGTCAAGCATCCGACTTTTGATCTCAGCTCAGCTCATGATCTCACAGTTCCTGAGTTTGAGCCTCACATGGGTTCTCTGTTGATGGTGCAGAGCCTGCTTGGGAATTTGTCTTTCCTCTCTGCCCCTCCCTGATTATGTGCACGCATACTCCCTCTTTCTCTCAAAATAAATAAACTTTAAAAAAAAATTTTTTCAGCCAAACCAGGGTGCCTGGGTGGCTCAGTCAGTTAAGCATCCGACTCTTGATTTCAGCTCAAGGCATGATCCTACAGTCCATGAATTCAAGCCTTTGGGTGGAGCCTGCTTGGGATTCTCTGTCCCTCTCTCTCTGTGCCTCCCCTGCTCATGCTCTCTCTCAATAAATAAAGTTACAAAAAAAAAATAAATTTAGGGGCGCCCGGGTGGCTTAGTCGGTTAAGCGTCTGACTTTCGCTCAGGTCATGATCTCACGGTTCGTGGGTTCGAGCCCTGCGTCGGGCTCTGTGCTGACTGCCAGCTCAGAGCCTGGAGCCTGTTTCAGAGTCTGTGACTCACTCTCTCTCTCTGACCCTCCCCTGCTCACGCTGTGTCTCTCTCTCTCTCTCTCTCTCTTAGAAATAAATAAAACATTAAAAAAAATTTAAAAAATTTAGCCCCACCATTGCAGTTTGTATTTATGTTTCCATAGAGACTGAGTTTGAATTACCAAATGACATCTGAAAATATTAAAAAAAATTAATGGAACTTAAAAAATTTTTATTTTTTAGCAACAATTATGTATCGATGTGGTTCCTTGGAATCATTTTTCGGAGAGTAGAAAATGCAGAAAGTGTTAACATAGACTTGACCTATGATATACAGTCTTTTACTGATACAGGTAAGACTTTGTCATCATGGAGCTGTGGTTCTCAAGTTTGGTTATAACGCAGTATCATCTGCCATGGATCTGCCTGGCTAGATTTGTTAATTGGCTCAATGAATGTGGGTAGTACATCCATATTAGGAAAACCTATGCTGCTGTTTTAAAAAAGCGTAATGAAACAATTTCCAAGACATATTAAGTGGGGGGAAAGTTGCAAAACAGTATGTATAGTGTTGTACGATTTCTGTAAATAAGTAAAAAAAAAAAAAAAAAAGTTTGCTTATAAATACCTAGAATATCTTTGGAAGGATATATAGTTTTTTAAAAAAGGTGGTAGAACTGGTTGGTTTTTAGGTTAAGGAACCAGGTATGTCTAGGGGATGGATGTGAGGAGACTTCACTCTCTTTGAACTGTTTGGGTTTTATACCACGTGATGGTATTCACTATTTCAAAACAAAAAGAAGACTAAAGAAACTATACAGGTTATTTTTATTTTCAGTGTGTGCAGATATGTGCACAGTGATAAAGATGACTTGATTTTTTACATTTTTTTATATATACCATCAGTCAGTATAGCCTTGAATATGTTTGAGAATCAGGGAAAGAGTGTCTTTCACATCTTGCTCCCTAATAACAGCTCTCTGGAATATGTTAATGTATCTTTTATAAATTTGGAGTTGTATTAATCTGGAGTAGTGTACATTCATACTATTAATATTTTTGGCTTGGCTTATCTGAGTTTTCTAAATTCTTCTAAACTAGCTTTCACATTTATCATGAAAATGCAGATTCCTGTACATCACGTCGGCACTACCGAATCCCACACTCTGGGAGTGGAGCCAGAGAATCTGCAAGTTGAACAAGTACTCCTGGTGATGCTTTTATAAGCAATCTGGAATGAAAACATGGATATACATTTTTCCATTCTAATTTGGGCTCATTTTTTCAAAAGCAATGGATTGGGAAGCTCTGTTTATTGTAGATTTATAGAATGTTCTTCTCCAGATAGAGATTCTGAGGCCCCAAGCGAGGAGATAACTTACCACATTTCACAGTAGTTAACTGCGAAAGAAGCTTCTCCTCTGTGTCTTCAGTCAGCTTATGATCTAATTTGGTATTCATAGTTAAACATACATTAAATAATTTGTGTTAATAAAACTGACTTTGTTATAAGATGTGAAAAGCACTAGAAAGGGACTCTAGGGCTGTGTATATTCCACTACCAGCAAGTCATTCGGGGTGTTGAGCTTCATTTCCCCACCTGTGCAATAAGGATGTACTTCTGGATAGTTTCTGACAGTTTGATATCTGATTAGTGTAGTAAAAGAAACTTCATGGAGGATGAGAACTTGAATTGCATCTTGGATATTTAGTATAAGGATTAGCTTCGACTTGAGTAAATATGAGAAGAGATTGCCTTTTGGAATAATAACAGAAAATAGGATTTGGAAAAAAAATTGTTTTCATGCATTTTGTTAACAAGATTTGCTTATTGGAAAGTCTTAGAAGTTGGACATGAGAAAACTAGTTGGTACTTAAACAGAATTGTGACATGAACATGCTTTTAAAATATTTGTTCTGTATGCAGAGTGGGTATGTTATGTTAGTGAGATTATGGGGAGGTATCAAATGTATGCATTTTGGAGAAAAACGCACCTCTTGGTTCAGGAAGTAGTTGCCCATTTAACATACTAACATTGTTACAGTGTACAGACAGGCAAACAATATAAACATGCTAAAGGAAGGGATGAAAATTGAAGCAACTCATGTTAAAAAAAAGCAACTTCATCACTACCTTCCAGCAGAGATTCTTCAAAAGAAGAAAAAGGTAAGTTTGTAATCTTAACTCTCCAGTATGGTTCCCCTCAGACACATGCTCCTGGGATCAGCTTGGCAATCTCATAGCTCCCAGTCCTATTAAGAAAAAAGGAAAGAGGGGCACCTGGGTGGCTCAGTCAGTGGAGCATCTGACTTCAGCTCAGGTCATGATCTCGCATTTCATGAGTTCGAGTCCCGCGTCGGGCTCTGTGCTGACAGCTCAGAGCCCGGAGCCTGCTTCGGATTCTGTGTCTCCCTCTCTCACTGCTCCTCCCCAGTTCACTCTTTCTCTCTCAAAAATAAACAAACATTGAACATTCTAAAAGAAGGAAAAAAGGAAAGAAAAGTACAATTCAGTCTAGAACTGAAATCTTCCCTTCATTCATAACAAAGATTCATTTTATGTACTTCACAATTGAGAAACCAGTAATTATTCTCATTTGCTTCTTGAAATCCTAACTGCTCTCCCCTCTTTCAGCAAAGTCTTTCTGATGTCAGTCGAAGTTCAGGTGGACCTCAATCCAAAAGATCATCTTTGGATAGCAATTGTTTGGATAGCTCCAGAGACACTGATAATGGAACTCCTTTTAATTCCCCAGTGTCTGCAAGCAAACCTTCCAAGCCTGACGTTCCTCCTTCAGGAGAAACAGAAAGGTCTGCATTTCAGAATTTTCCTTTCAGTCTTCAGTTTGAGGATGACGTAAACTTTTCTGCCCTTAGCTAAATATCTTAATTGTTAAAATATCTTAGCAGTTACTGGTCATTTCCTGGCCAGAAATACTTGCCAGTGCGTTGTAGTCCTGTGGGACATGGTATAGGCTCATGAATGTGTCGGACTTGAAAAGTACAGAGAAAATGCACAAGTTTTTCAGTTTTTTCTAACTTTTCACTCAGTCCTCTGCCTTTTCCCCCCCCTGCTTTGCCTTTTCTCCAGTGAAATGTTAAAGTAGAGGTACTTGAAGTCATCCTGATGTTAGGATATGAATGTTTTAATTAAGTCACACAAATTATTTAATGATAATTCAACACTGTTAATAGGAATAATACCGAGCCTCCTGCTGTAATTGCGGAAAAGCCACTGAGTGTCCCACAAGCTCAAGGACTGTCTATCCCAGTCATTGGTGCAAGTAGGTATCTGCGCTTTTGTTAGTACTATGATTCTACTATGTATATATTTAATTACTAGAATTTTTCTTTTTTACTTTTCAGAAGTTGATTCTGCAGTCAAAACCGTATCGCCCCCAGCTGTGTGCACGATTCCTACTGTAGTCGGACGAAATGTCATTCCTAGAATTCCAACACCCCACAACCCTGCCCAGGGACAGCCACATCTTAATGGAATGTCAAACATAACTAAGAATGTTGCACACAAGAGGTCCCATTCCCCATCCATCGATGGGTCTTCGAAGAGGTTGAAAGAAATAGAAAAGGTAAAGTGAGAACCTTAGTGGTGATTCAGTACATTTTTTTTTTAAAGTTAAACTAGCACCAGAGAAATTTACAGTTATCCATAGCTTAGTGTTCCATTAGGATTTGACTATTTAAAAAGAATATTTACCCAAACACTCAAGGAATAATACTGATTGTTCATCCCTAATTCATGATCTGAAAACTTAAATGATAACTCTGAGTTTCTCTTTGACTTAACAAATAAGCCTTGGCAACCAGGCTTATTTATTGTTATAATGTTGATGCCCTCTGCCTCCAGTAGGTGGTGGTAAAACTGTTTTATTTTCAACTGAATTGATGTAACCAGAAAGGACACTCAAGTTGTAGAAGTTAAGGGTGGCAGCTGAAGTCTAATTTAAGTTGCACTAGTTTTGACAATGGCCTTATCACTTGTCTCTGTTTATTATAGATTATATGGTTTTTGTAGGTAATAGCAATTCATCTTAATATTTATATTCCAGTTTATTCGACTTGAATCAACATTTAAAGAATCACGTGCTCCTGAAGATAGAAAAAGAAAAGCAGTGGTAAATACATTAATAATTTACTTCAAAATATTACTTTCAAAGAGCCATAGATTAGGAAAAATACTGTATTTGAAAGTGGAGCAGATTAGATAGGTCTGTGAAGTTTGGGTCATGTTTTATTTTGTGTAGACATAACTGTAGGTAGGAAGGAAGGAAAGTTTTCATTTGTATATAATTCTGTTTTTAGGATGCCATTGGAGGAGAATGTATGCCTATTCCAACTATTGATACATCACGCAAAAAGGTAACAAAGTTTTATTCATAGGTAACCTGCAGATACAAAAAGTTTTAGAGCCTTGCACTGGGTGAAAGAAAAGGGTAATAAGATTTTGTCCCTGTCCTCAAAGACTAGCAGTATAGTTGGGAATTAGGGTAGAAACACACACGGGATCTGGTCCTAATGTATGTACTTTCGAAGTCAAGAAAAGAAGTAATTTAAGACTTCGCTATTTATTCAGATTACGTCAACCTCTCTTTATTTTTAAAGAAGTTTAGTAATTTCTTACCAACGCTTGCTAGTAGATCTTTTGTTGTATACCATTGCTTACTGTCAAAGCTTAAGCTTGATACTTATTAATATTTTGGAAGAACCTAATGTAATGGTATACATAGTACCTTTAAAACATGAGCTAATGAGCCCCTAAATCTCAAAATTTATTATCCAAAGAAGTACCACTGAAACTAATAATACATTATTAAGTATGGTAGCTAATGAGTAGGTGCTCAAAACTCAGCTTTGTGTAGAGAAGTGCTTCTCTGAGCATTTACAGTGAACAGAATGGCTTAGTCTATTTATTTTGAGAAAGTTGGCCAGGGGAGGCAGAGAAAGGGAGAGAGAATCCAAGCAGGCTCCAAGCTATCGGCATGGAGCCCAGCGCAGGGCTCGATCTTCTAAACGATGAGATCATGACCTGAGCCGAAATCAAGAATCAGAAGCTTAACAGACTGAGCCACCCAGATACCCCTGTATTGGCTATCTTAAAGCATATAGTATCATACTTTCTTTTAGCTGTAGAATTCATAAAATTTAACATAAAGAGTGTTACAAAAAATACGAATGTAGGATTATATGTGATAATGGGGGAAAAAATCTGATACGGTTAAGGTATGAGAGCATGAAATTATATGCCTGAGTCTAGGTTGAAAATATTTCAAGTATAAAGGGTAAGGATATAAACCAAAGTGGCAGAATTTTAATAATGCCAGTCTTGGTTATGCTAAAGTCTTCATTGTCCTAGTGTCTCTTTTTTTGTACGTCTAAAATTGTTCATGTTTTTTGAATGGCTCTGGATGTACAGGTTTAGCCAAGTTAGTAACCTGAGAGAATTAACTCTTACCTACCGTTTCCTTCACACAACTGTAAGAGGTCTCTTTCTCAATTTCAGAATTTACCTTCATTACATAATCATCTTCAGTATCTTCACATAGATGTACCTGAGTTTCACTAGCACTGAAGTTATGTGACCTGCTCTGACTACAGAGTCCATTTTCCTGAACTTACCTCACAAGTTTGATTTACAGTGTTGTTCTCCACGAATGTATTACAGAAACTAACCAGATATCCTGTTTTCTTCTGTAGCACACTCATTTTTTACCCAGCACCCCAACACTTTCCTGCCTAGTGACCCTGCTCTTCCTACTTCTCTTTATCATTGCCCGAAGGACTGTGTTCTTTGTGCATTTCTCAGGCCAGAAGTGGGAGTCATTTGACAAAATCCTTTTTCCTAAACATGCACTCCTCCCACTTGCACCCTTTTCCTGTGCCTCTGACTTCACAAAAAAAGTCCCCAAACCAAGGAAATGACTGTGAGCATTGGAAGAAAGTATTCAACACATACGTGAGTGTTTAATAGTCTAAGGAATATAGAGGAAAACAGTTTTATGACTGATTTACAAGTTGGGGCATAATAATGAAATGTTTGCTTTTCCTTCTTTATTTCTGTTCCTTTCTAATAGAGACTACCCAGTAAAGAACTACCAGATTCATCGTCTCCAGTGCCAGCAAATAACATCCGAGTCATCAAAAATTCCATTCGACTGACCCTTAATCGGTAAAAGCAGTGCCTCCTTACTTAAGTGAATATGCAATCATTTAGTGGCATAGATGCAGCCACTCTTTTTAAAATAGAAGTGGCTGTTGCACATAAAATAAGGTGAAAGTTACAGTCATCGGACTAACGACCTTGAAGTGGTTTTTGAACTCTCACACTTTGACCTGCAGATGCCGTAGCAAATCTCATTGATTGCTGCGCACACTTCTGTGAGGATCATCTGCTATCAAATTGTCATCTACAATATTACGGCTTTGCGTTGGAGGTTTCACTGCCTTAACTTTCGATGCTTGTTTCTCTGTTGTGGGAACCAGTTCTCGGCTCTTTGGACATGGATAAAACAAGTCCCGAATTTTTTTTTTTTTTTTTAAAGTCTTATGTTGTAATCATTGTATAGAACTGAAAAAGTTGAAAACAAAACAAAAAAAAATTGTCTTGTAATTTTCCAAATGTTAACACATTTACTTTATCCTTGAAGCCACTTTGTGAAACCTGCGATAAATGAATGTGAGGTATCTTTTCTGCTTCCCTCATTTGTGTAGATGTACTTATTGTCTATTCTGTTGATTTAAATTATTTTTTTTCAGAATGGCACATGGAATATTTAAATTTTTATTTTTGTGTGCCTTTCTGTTCAAATGTTGCATAGTTACCAGGGAGGATTAGTCCAGTGATTACATAAGAGTTGGGCACCATAAAATTCTCTATATTTTGCCTCCCATGGAGGCCTTCGAAATGCATCTTTATTAAGAATCAAAATATAACCAAGATACTGAAAGTCAGTATGTGAATGGTGAAATTGTTACATATCCTAGGCTCATGCCATTCTTGTTAGTTGACTGGTATTTTTTACCAAGGAGCAACTCATTCCAGCATCAATAATGAAATACCTTTAAGTATGGCAGACTTGTATTCTTGAGGTGTAAAATTAACTTGGCATGATAATTCTTGACCATTACGTACCCCACAACTTCAGATAGTTTCTTCATGGACTAGGCATGCAGAAATAAGCAGTGGATTTTACTGAAACCTAAAGGCATTTTTTTGAACAACATTGTTACCAACCATTAATTGGCTCAGGACCTTTGTAATTTTTATTTAACTATGAGTTGTCTTTTTTTACACTGCTTTTTTCAATGCATTTCTTAATATTTTTTAAGTTTCATGAACGCATGCTCAGTTTATTAAAATCCATAACCATGTAATTCTTGTAATATGTTGATTCAGTGTTTTGTAAATGAAGTCGTATGTATTTTCAGAGTATTTTTGTATGTACTGTAAGATACCATCTTTTCAAAGAGAAAACTTTAAAACCTTTACTGTCTCTCTTTAGTCTAATTTTTTTAAAATATGGATTATGCTTGAATTACTCTTAAAATGAAAATGTATAGATTGCACAGCCAGGAATGCTGGTATTTCTTAACTTCTCCAGCTCTCACTCAGCAATTTAGTAGGTTCTGGTAGGAAAAACACAAAATGGTACATTTGAATGAACAGAGAAACTATTTGGTTGTATATTTTATAGGACCCGTGGACCCACTTAGCCTGTGGAGCAATAGTCCATTTTCTCTCACAAGCCCCTTACCAATGAGTTGAAATGCTTGGAATCCTTATTGTCCGAGAGCAGTATCCTTCTCCCACTCCTGGTCCTTGATCCCTTGGTGGCTGCAGTGGAAGTTCTAGTATTTAATCTCTTAGAAAGGAAAACTTAGAAGAATAAGGAAGAAAGAGTTGTTGTTCCATTACTCACTTTTTGCATAGCGAAAGGCAAGAATGAAATCCTATAACCAAGTTGTAGCTCACTTGGAAAGCTCTTCTTTTAGCCGACCCTTTCCTTTATTCAACTATTTTAAAATTTGTCTTAAAAAAGCTCTTTGAGCAGAAGTAAATGATTATGAAAGGACTAAATAATTCCCTAGGAAGATTTGATTAAATGTTATATATGTGCTATGTTTCCATTTCTGTGTCTAGCTATTTTCCCCTTCTGTTATCGGTCTTCAAGTCTCTTTAAGAATTCTCATGTTTGCCTTTCTATATAAACATTCTTTAGAGTGACTAGTAGAGTTTTTCTTCAGGAAGAAAGCAACAGGCCTAAGCCTTATACCACAGAATAGTCATTTCTCATCTATTCAGCATGGGGTTGAGACACAGCCAAATGGTTCAATGTTATACACCTCCAAGATCACATTCTTCAACCTGTTTGGTAACTGGGGAGTTGAAGAGATGCTTTTGAGATGGTAGCTTTGGTCAGAAATGAAGTGTTTTCTATCCTAAACAGTAGGTAGAATGTTCAGTACATTTTGTGACCATAATAGGAAAGCTCCATTGTACTGATTCCAAGTAAGTAAAAGGAGAAGGTTTGGATTGGGATTGTGTGTGATGTTCAGAGGCACTAAATAAATGGGATTTCAAGTTTGAAACTATACCTAGGAATATATTTTATAAAGCAGATAACCTCCAGTATGTAGACATATGTTCCTTTTCCCAAGGGTACGTAAGCTTAATCTCCGTGTTCAGGACTGGCTCTGAAGAATAGTATATATTAAAGGAAAATATTTGTCTGCTAGCTTATGTCACAGGGACTTTATTAAGAAGGTACATGACTTAAAACCTTGTAAAATTGGGGTAAAATGAATTTTAAAAGACTTGGTGCTTACAATTAACTGTCTTAAGGCAACAATTAAGTAACCTTACTAAAATGCTTACTTTACTACAGTAGCAATAAAGTACAGATGGACAGTGTGGAAATGGGCTAAACTTACTCTGTGTTCCTCATTGGAATAGGAATTCCTAACTCGGGGATCATGGGCCTTTGGGAATCCTTTGCAAATGTATATAAGAAATTTGTTTATATGCGGGGTTTTTTGGTGGGGAGGGGGGATTCCTAAATTTCATCAGCTCCTCAAAGTGGTTCATGACCCTTAAAAAAAGGGGGGGGAGGTGATGGGCCATTTTTAGGAACCACAGCTTTGCGAGACTGAATAATCCCAGACTCTTGAGGTTTTTTCCATAAGATTTTTCCATGGTAGATTTCTGAAAATATATTATGGCTCTTAACTAGTAAAGTGGGCTGTTGGAGGATTCTGGAATACCAGATTTCTCTCCAAATTTCTTTATAGATTTCAGATGAACCTTAATCAGTACTTAGATGAGTGCTCACTATTGAATTTATAAATGGCTCTTGTTTATTACTTAGATTCATTAACAGGGTCAAACTTTAACAAATTTCAACCTAATATTGATCAGAGTAGAATAGCTCAGGATGATCTTCAGAAATGGTAAAAAATAGAATTAATCAGTAAGGATCCTAACCCTTTGGTTTCAGTAGCATTAATGTTCTCTCTTATTCCTTCATGTTTGTGGTTCAGAGCAGAACAATCTGAACAGGCCAATAAAGAGAACTTTAGTTTTAAAAAATAATGGGTGTCTTTACCCCTGAAATCTTCCAAAGCTTAGGATTTAGGTCATAATCATAGTGGTAAACAGTGCAAACAATGGAAGAAACAGGTCTTGATAATGGTAACTATTTCCTTTGGGTTTTTTTAAAGAATTGTACAAGGTCAGATCCTCGCCAAATGCCCTATTTTTTCTGATACAATTTTATTTTTTTTTTTTTTTTTTTTTTTTTTTTTTTTTTTTTTTTTTTTTTTTTTTTTTTTTTTTTTTTTTTTTTTTTTTTTTTTTTTTTTTT